TAGATGAAGGAGAAATAAAATCTTTCTCAGGCAAGCAAACACTGAGAGAATTTGTCATCACTAGACCAGTCCTGTAAGAAATGCTCAAACATGTCTTAAACATGAAAATACAAGATCAACATTCATTATCATTAAAACATAGAGATATAAAATTCAAGGTCAAATAATAACACAAAAAGAGAAAGGAATTTGTCAGGGCCCGGGACTGGCCAGGTCTCGGGCCCAGCTTAGGTAGGTTTTGGATGGGGACCACTAAGCTACCTTGCTCAGGAACAGTTTCTCGTAGGTGCTTGAGGGCTATCTACTTTAGCTGGGGGGAGAGAGACAGAGTATCTTAGAGTAAAGCAGTCTTCTTAGAACAGATAGCTCTTAGTCTTTAGCAGAGCTTGGTAATCTTCAGCAGAGACGCTGTGCTGGCGTTCTGCAGGCAGGAGAGGAGACAGAGTCAGAGTAAGTGGATCCATGATAGAATGCGCATGCTCCCGACTGCCTTGTGCTTCTCAGCATCACAGGTGTAGAGACTGCCAAGTCACCAATGCTCTCATCTCGCGAGCTCACTCATGCTTGTTAGAACCAAATCTCTCTCCATCCCCTTTTCACCAAGGTGTTCCATTACAGGTATTTCTTATAACTCTCACTCCTCTTAGCCATAGGCTATACAGGCTGCTACATTTCTCCCCTTTTTTATATACAAACAAAATAACTTTTAATGTGGTAAGGGTGGTTCTTCCTGTTATCTAGCCCTTTTCTTTCTAGGTAAAAGATGGTAATTATCAGAGTTCAAAATTCCAAGTATGGGCTCTTTAAGTGAGGAAGCCCAATACAGCTGTAAACTATTAGCCTCTGCTAGAGGAAAATGATTGTGATGTTAATTCCCTTAAAGGTCTTTTCAAATGGAGAAAACTGAAATCTTTCCTGATAGAATTTATCATTTCTTTAACTGTAGGAACTTTCCTTTGATATTTACTTAGCGGACGAACAAAAGATAACGCTTTCCTTGCAATCTTTGCAAGCAGAGGATTTTTCTCTCGCTATTCCAAAGGTTTTGCTACTCGCGGTACTGAAATCC